GCAAAGTTACTTTTTTTCTACTATTGTTCATTGTCTTCTAATAAGTTTTCTTTCTTCATCCCAGCCAGTGAGCCACAACACCCAAGGTAGTTGGAGAGCATATACTTCCCAGTAAGTAGGGTCTACAGGCCCTTACACCCAGAAGAAGCTATAGAAGACAGAGACTTCCACTCTGTCAGCACCCTATAAAGAATTAAGAGGATATGTTTCTCTCAGGAGAAAATGAGATAGGAGACTAGGGCATGGCAAAGCTGTTTGGGGAAGTAGGTGTGACCTGTTAATTATAAAATCCCAGGATATATTACAGAATAGTTTCCAAAGCCCTGCATGTGGACTGCTAGAGAGAACTTGAGCAGGTTTTTGTTAGGATGGCCTAGACTTGATGTCAGTCCGAGGAGTGGGTGATGCCAAAAGGGTAGTTGCCATTGAGTTTTTGCCATTGTATTCACTCTTGCATAGTGGTCCACCCTCAAGCTGTAGGTTGTAGTTCTTTTCCTACTTTTACCTGGCCAAAAGTGGCTCTTCAGAGCCTCTTTCTTTTTTCTATAATTAATAAAACCTTGCTATTGTTTGCATTTGTCTTGACCAATTCCTTGCTCAGGAGAGAAAGAACCTAAAAACTGCCTCCAGAAGGAGATACCAGTACTCCAAAACCTGGTAGCAGGACTAGGAGTTGATCCCCTCAGCCACTTGAAGTGGCAAAGTGGGGTCTGGGAAATGTCAGAGCCCCTATGGCAGTTCCTTCAACCTTGGGTAGCCTTTCCTATTTGTCTCGGTATACTATATTATTATCACTTTCTCTTTATGCTTTAAGATTTTTGTAGAAAGAATGTCAGGGAGCTACTTCCTTAGTTTTCTACTGATACTTAACAAATTAGCACAAACTTCGTGGCCTAAAACGATATTCAGTTAAGCATAGCTTTGCCTGTTGTTTTGCTTAGGGTCTTACAAGACTGACATTAAGGTGTTTTCCAGTCTGTGTTCTTATCTGGAACTCAGGGTCTTTTTCCCAGACCCTGTTGAGAGTGCAGTTTCTTGTGGTTATAGGAATGACATATTCTTGCTGGCAGCCAGCCCACAGTCCTGCTTAGCTCCTAGAATCTACCTTCAAGTCCTACTTATGTGACTCTCACAATGTGATAGTTTATTTCTCCAAAACTCACACAAAAATCAATATTTGGTATGCTTGCTATGAAGGAGTCTTATGTAATGTCATTAATGAATTAAAGTTCAGGCTGCTCACCACTTGAAGGCCAATATTCAGGAGTCGAGGGTTGGTTAGGAGGAATCAGGTTTATTTAAGGGCTGACATCTTGAGAAAATGGAAGGCCTATTGACCTCAGAGCTCCATCTTCAGTAACTCAGGGTCACAAAATGCTTTTATAGGGAGAAAAAAGAGGTCTAGTGAGACAATGGTCTTGAAGACTGTGTGCTAAGGGTGGTTTTCATCATCCATGGTTATGTCTTCTTCCCCTCCCCTTCAAGAACATTGCAATTGACCTCAACCTCCTGAGGATAGTTCCTATATTTAAAAAAACAAACAAATATTACTTTTCTGCAAGTTAAGCCTCACAGCAATTTACTAGCCTTGTGTTAATTGATTCATAGAACTAAAGACTAAGGTGTTACAAAGGTCACCAGATGTTCTGCATTCAATCTAAAGAAAGATTATTTAGCAATTAATGTCTCAGCTATTTAGGTGGGGCTTCTCTTTAGGATTCAGAATGATCTACAAATGGGAGAGTATGAGGGGATGTAATCCTTGAGAAAGCAGTAAGGAGGGGACCCAAACCTGAGGGAAAGTAAATGGAGGGTGAAGCAAAAGCAAACTGTCAAGTAATTCCTTACAAAGGAGCCACCCTGTTATAATATAACATACAGGGAGTGATAATTCATCATATTTAACAGGTCTTGCCCACACTCCAGGTAGGGGACTATCCAGAGTATGTACAGCATGAGACAGAATCTTGGTGGGCTTCTTTAGAACTCTACGCTCTACCTTTTGGTGTCATAAGCTGTTGCACATACCCAGACCAAAATTATAACCACAGGCAAAGGAAAATCTTCACAGCTGAGTATATTACCAAGAGACACAGGATATAAAAGTAAACTATCTTACAATTATATCCCATGAATTATTCTTGTTCAGTTATCCACCTACATGCAGCCTTACTATTTTAATTTGAGAATGGTTTTTATGAGATTTCTGGAGCCCAGTGATCCTATGAAAACAATGGGGACTCCAGAATTTCTCTGTGGGATGGACCTCAAGGAGGAGATTTGAGAGGAACAGAGAATTTTTCTTGGCATGCCTTTGGAGATCACTGCAAGGGCAGGTGTTAAAGCAACTCTAAAACACCTTTTGTATTCTTGACCAGTGAATGTATTGGCTAAACTTTGTTTCTTATACGTCTAACCCTTCTATATGCATTGAGTTCTGGATATCTTGGAATATGACATCACTGAGGCAGACACAACAACATAATCAAAATATATCTCAATGTTCAGCCCTAACCTATGGCTTCAAGTTCGAGATCTGTTTACTTTTGGTGGGCTGTGTGACTTAGAATACATCAGTTTCCTTTTCTAAGTCTATGTAAAACGAGGGGGAAGAGGACAAAATATTCTTTAAGAATCTTTACAGTCTTCTTTTTACAGTCTTCTTCATGTCATTGATTTCAAGGACATCCTAGATTTCTCAAAGATCTAAAACATTCAGAAATAAGAGGTTCTCCAGACTATCCAGGCATTCTGAGGAGCACCATCTCTAGACAAGTCAATATATGCCTTAACAAAGGAAGACTGGATTCTACTGTTTATGAATGTCTCTACAAAAAGATACCATGGTTTCTTCTAATCTACTTAGGGGTTCATTATCATTCACTGAACTTTTACTGTCAATAGGTTCATGGGTTCTGTAGACTCTCTCTAGGGATTTCTTTCAGGTTCTTAGTGTCCTGAACAAAGAATTGGACACAACATGCAAAAAAGTTAGTGAGGATCTACATTTATTAAAGATAGGAAGAGGTATGTTCTGCAGAGTGAGAGCAGGCCACTGAGAAGGCTCACAGTGGCTCACAGAAGGCTCACAGAAGGCTATGAGGTTAATGACAGACATATTTTGTACCCCCTATTCTTCAGTCCAATGTCAGATCTAGGCCATCCTATCAAAAACCCGTTTTATTCTATACCAGAAGAATTGAAAGTAGCGCTTTCTGATTAGTCCCAGGTTCAGGGCATGAGAGATGTTTTTTACATATGTGACCTGGATCTCTGTGATTGACAGGTTACTCTCATTTGCCCGGCCAGTTGGCCATACCCAAGTCTCCTGCCTCACTATTCCGAGGATGATTTCCTATAATCCCTGCAAAGCCACTTTGCCATACATGATACTGTCACATTACATAAATTTTAGCACTATCTAAATTGATAGGTGGCAATGCAATAAAAGTGGTAGCTGTCCAAGTGTCTAGTGAAGCTTAAAAAAAGGAGACTAATAAAGACAAAATTCTTTGAATAAACATTCCCTGAGCATCTTTTATATAAATAATGATAGCTTAGAGCCTGATAAGTATTAATATAAATACAAAGGAGCTTCTAATCTCAGAGAAGAGTGGAACAGAGCAGTTGAATGAATGTACAGGTGTCCCAGACCTATTAACTCCATAGACAGGAATATGCTTATCAACTGCCACCCATTCTGAAATGTATGGGAGGTGGTGGTCCCCAGCTGGGCACAGGACTGGGTCCTTGGTGAGCCACTTTCATTTTGTGATGAGCCCTTTCATGTGTCTACTTGTTAGGATTCCAGTTATTCCATCAAACACTAATCAAAGTGTTGCTGTGAAGTTATTTTGTAGATATGATTAAAATCCATAATCAGATGATTATAAATTAAAGAAATTATTTTACATAATCTTGGTAGGCCCGATTCAATCAATCAGAAATCTTAAAGACAGGGTAGAGTCTTTCCTGAGTTAAGAAGAACTTTTACTACATGCCAAATGCAGCTTTAGCCCATTGCTAAGAACCCTGGCCTCCCCTCCTTGGTAGTCTGTACTATGGATTTTGGACTTGTCTAGCCAGACTTCATATTCCTGTAGGCCACTTCTTTGTAACAAATCTTTTACTGTATGGTAGGTCCTATGGATATCATACTTGCATAAGTAGACTTTTAAATAATTCCTTGTGGTAAACCTCTTAATAAGTGCCTCCTATTGGCTTGGCTTCTCTTGTTGAACCCTAATTTAGATTTTGATACCAGAAGTATAATGAATGTATTTGCATTTTGTTTGTAGGGTCAAAATACATCCTTGGGCTCTCTTGAAAGATACCTACATTTCAGGCTGGGGATTTAGCTCAGTGGTTCTGCCACCTGCCTTGCAAGTACCAGGTCCTGAGTTCGTTCCCCAGTACAAAAAAAAAAAAATGGGCCGGGGATTTAGCTTAGCGGTTCAGTGGCTTGCCTTGCAAGTGCAAGGACCCGAGTTTGATCCCCTGTGCCTAAATAAATAAATAAATAAAAATCTACATTTCAATCTCTGAGAATATGTTCCCTTAAGTGGCAAAGGGGAATTAAGGTGGCACAAGGAATTAAGGCTGCTCATCAGCTGACTGAAATAAAGACATTGTCTTGGATTCTTCAGGTGAATCCAATGTAATTACAAAGCGCTTCAAGGTTAAACAAGTGGACAGAGAAGGAGAACCAGACAGATGATGGTGAGAGTGACATGGCCCAGTGTTGCTGGCTTTGAAGAAACCAAGGCAAGTGGAGCCTTTAGAACCTGAAGAGACTAGGGAATGTGTTGTCCTCTAGAACTTCCAAAAAGGAATGAAACAAAGCTAATGTCTTCATTTTAGTCCAGTAAAATCCATGTTTAATTTTTGCCATCTAGAACTATGGGATAATTTATATGTGTTATTTTAAGCCACTGAATTTGCAATAATGTGCTATAGCAGTCATATAAAATAATGCAAACACTAATCTCTATCTCTTTCAGCAGTGGCTCATCAACTGCTGGGCATACGATGGGGACAGAGGATTTGTTCCTTCCCTGCTTACTAGGTGAGCTGGTCTACCTTACACCTTCGTCTCGCTGTGCCCTGCCAGCTTGCTGCCCATGGTCCTCAGTGCAGCCCGCAGCCCTTGGAACGGCCCCACCCCATCCCTGCAGCAGACGGTGAGTCTGGAAAAGACTCAGAGTTTGGAGTCTGTCTAAGAGCCTCATCCTATTCTTTGCTCTCCCCTACCATGGTTTCCACACCAGATGCACTGTCTATTTATAGGCTACTGATGCCCAGAAGACATTTAAGAGAAATTATACAATGCTGCCTTTATAAGATTTTTTTTAGAAAGAGTTTCATTCTCTCTCCAAGCTTATGAGTCCACGGGGATATCTGAGCTTTATAACCTTGCATTATTATCTTGTCAGTTGGTTAACTGAAGGAAATATTTTCTCAGCTTCACTCTCTTCCTCTTTCAGAAGAATGCGTTAAGTGTATGTTTACAATACTTTCTGGAGGAAATCTTTTCTTCTTCTCAAACCCAGGGCCAAAAGACTGGCAATTGTTGGAGATGAAACAGGGCATCCTGTCCTCAGACCAGCTTTGCTCAGGGAAATGAGAGACTAAGGAAAATATCTGGAGATACCTGAGGGGTACAAGGCTTATTAAGAGTTACTAACAGGGAAGTTTCCATGAGAAGCACATGTGGATTCAACAGTGCTGCTCAGGAGATCCACAAAGGGCATGCATTTATCACCTGTGGTGTTCAGCAAGTCTGTGGGAGATGTGTACTCAACAATAGCACCACTTGGGAGGTCCACTGGTGAGTGGCTGGACAGTTAGCACTTATCCTCTGGACAGTGCTTCGCTCCACACTCAGTTGCTGCAGGGAAAAGGTTTTACAGATTAAACTGCATGAGCAGTGACACCATTAGCTTGCTTTGTTCTAGTGTAGGACCAGCATTCCAAGAACAACTGACCTGGCAAACAGGTAGGAAGGCAGCTCTTACACACAGCCGTAGTTTGACAAGTTCTCATTGTTCTCAAGTTAATACTTATCCAGACAGTCCAGTCTGAGCACACTACAATGTCCGTCTGATCTGGAAAGAGTCTTGGGAATTCAAAAGACATCTTAGGAGCGTGTCCCACTTTTTCTCAGGAATGATTCAGGAGGGTCAGGTAATGGGGGGGTACATTTCTTCTTTTTTTCTTTTCTTCTCTCTCTTTCTTTCTTTTCCTCCCTCCCTTCCTCCCTTCTTTCCCTTTCATTCTATCTTTCACAAATATTACAGTTCTAGCTATTGTAGTACTTGGTGCTTATATGCATTTCCCAGAGCTGCCATGACAAAGTAGCACAAACTGGGCAGTTTAAAGTAGCAGAAACTGTCTTACAGTTAGTTTAGTCAGAAGTCTAAAATCAAAGTGTTAGAAGGGCCATGCTGTCTCTGACTGTGGGTAGAATCCTTCCTTCCCTCTCTAGATTCTGGTGGTATCCAGTGCTCCTGGGCCTACAGCAGCATCACCCCAGTCTCTGTTTCCATCATCACTGCTCCACATTGTTTTCCCTCTGTGCACATCTGTGTCCTGATCCCCCTACCCCCCAGACATATTCTCACTATGTGCAGCCTGGCCTCAAACCCACAGCAATCCTCCTGCCTCTGCCTCTGTGTACTGCCACACCCAGCTTCTCTCTTCTTAAAAGGCAACCAATCCATATTGGATTAGCAATTTATCTTGCTTTATTGTGATCCCATCTTAACTGGTAACATCTGCAACAGCTACACACTGACCTAGAAGTGCTAGTGATCTGAATGAAGAGACTGAGAGTGAGGCATAGGGAGGAAGAAAAGTAGGCAGAGTCTAAACTAGTGCAGAGGTAGCATGCCCAGGATTTGGTGATCAATTAGGTGAAAAGAGAAAAGAAGAAAAGTCTAGTGAAGGTTGATCAGGTTTCCAGTTTGGACAACTGGAGAGAAGCCAAAGCAAGGGGCAGTTTCCCTCTCCCCTCTTCATGTACCTACTATGCTTCAAGTATGATGCTGAACGCATGCCATAGATTATCTTGCTTGATCCTAATTTCTTTCTTAATGGTAAATATAAGAATAATGGGTTTTATAATCAGTGGTATCTTAAATTAATAAAATATAAAATCATCCCTGTTTTTCAGATAGTGAAGCTGCTTTTCATAGAGATTTGTTACATAGTTTGTCTAATTTAATCCTCATTACACAGGTCATCTCATTTAGTCCTCCAACAACCCTATGAGGTGGTTTTATTATTCCTTCTCCACAGATAAGGAACCTTCCTGGGCAGACTAATAATAATGACAGTTATGATCTATTGAGCTTCTAGTCAGGCACTGAGCAGTGTGCTTTTTGTTTAAAACTCACAATCACCCAATGGGATATGTGCCCACCCAACTAGAGAGGTGAAAAAATGCTCCCACTGGGTCCATCCTGGATCTCTTGTCTCCTCTTCCCTCGCAGACAAATCTCATTGGGCCGTCAGACATACCCCTCCAGAATCTGCCTCCAACTTTATCTACCTCTTTGCAACACAGTCATTGCTTTGCAGCTTTCTCCCAGCAGCATTGAAGCAACCATCTGTGGTCCCCCAGAAACATCTTGACAGAGCTGGACCTGGGACTAGTGAGGTCCCCAAGGAACAAAATAAGAACACACTGAGTCTGAGCATCCTGCAATTTCAGATCAGCCTCCAAGAGTGATAATCTCCTTTTCTCACCCTGGCCCCAGCCTGTCATATGGATTTTCCTCACTTTGGCTGCTAGTTCTCCTCAGGATTATCTTCTTTGTCTATTCCCAACCTCAGTTTGGCTCATACCTACCCTTAATGGCCATTTAAGGCATCATCACCTGCAGGAAGCTTTTCCTGACTGCCTTCCATGTGGGACAGGTGTCCCTTTTTAGAACTCCTATAGCACCAGTTTTATTTTCCTACTATTGCAGTTCCACAAAGAAAACAGTTACCTGTTTCTCTTTCCCCTCTAAACCGTGATCCTCCTGAGGAAGGTCATATTTATCTGTGTGCTTCCATCAGTATTGCTTAGTGTACAGTAGGCAATTATTAAATGTTTGTTGAGTTAAGTAATTGTTGTGGGCTAAATTGTGTTCCTAACCCTCAGCATCTTAGAATGTGATTAACTTTGGAGATAGGATATTTATAGAGATAATTAAGGAAAAACATGGTCATTAGGATGTAGCCTACTCTAATTTGAGTGGTGTCTTTGTAAAAAGAGTAGGACACAGACACACAGAGAAAATGCCATGCAAAGACTCAGAAGATGGCTACTTCCAAGCCAAAGTGAGATCATAGAAGATATTAATCCATTGACACCATGATCTTGGGCTTTTAGCTTCCAGAACTGTGAGAAAATAGCTTTTTATTATTTAAATCAGGCTGTGGCTTTTTGTTAAGGCAGCCCTCCAAAACTAATAGACTAGCTAAGTAAGCAACTGGTAGTCTTCAATATCATGCACATGCCTCATGTTGCTTTCATTTTTCCTTTTTCTTAACCAGTATGCTCAGTCAGATGTCAACTCTAGAGGAAAGAACTGCCTATTTGTATCTTTTCTTCGCTGGGATAGTGGTCCAGCCTCATTTGATTGAAACCACGGCCAACTGTGGAAGGTGGTACTTGGCAGGTTCTGAGAAGCTCTGACCTTGAGTCTGCCTGAGCTCTCATCTTGTACATTCCCAGAAGTCCAGGAAGGGGAGCAGTAGTGCCTCAGACCATGGGCTGAACACCACTCATGCATGGCCTGGCAGTGCAGAATGCAGCCGTTAAAGGGTGAGACTGCTAGCCTAAGGACATCATAGCTTACTCATCGTTTATTTAGAAATATTTAGAGTCTGTTATGTGCTACATCGTTCTGGTACTGGGGATGTGGTGATGAAGGAGATAGACTTGATGTTTCCAGGTTTCTTCCTGAAACTCTCTTTCTAGTGCAATCAAGATCTCGACCATCACTGACATTCTAATAATAAGCACAACTCATGCTTTCACAGAGCTTCAGAGTTTACAAAGTGTGTTGATGCTCATTAGCCCACTCAGCTTTCTCCAAAACCCTGTGCAGTAAGAATTGTTATTATCATCTTTCATAAATTCTCACAATGATGTTCTTATTTTAACATCTCTGACATCAGGATAGGTCTCACAATGGATAACAAACATATCATAGTTTAATTGGTAGCTCTTATTTTCTTTCTGAGCAGTCAAAAAATGGTGATTCTTACACTCAATGGTATCTTAGATTTAATAAAGTACAGAATTATCTCTGTTTTGCAGATAATGCTGTTGCAGTTCTGAGAGATTTAGTGGCTTTGCAAGGTCATACGGCTCTATTGTCTTCTGTACAGCTTGGAGGAACGCTGGAAAAATGAGAGCTATGCAAAAAGCCACAGTAGCCTTGGTCAAAGTCTCTTTATTGGTTGCTCTTGGGAGATTTATTTCTCAGGCACACCACACCTTTCTACCCTCAGTTTTTCCACAGGGAAAGGAAGCTCTACCCTGTCCTCTGCCCCATCCCAGAATGAACTTCAAAGGGAGCCTGTCCTCCCTTTGCTCCACTCTCCAGGGAGCAGTGAGAGGGTAGCTAAAACCAGCTTAGCAGGTCTAGGATCAAAAGAGCCCCTTCCTCTTCTGAGTGCCCCAGGGGCTTGAGTGAGCTTCCTCTCCAGGCTGCTTGAATGATCTGTTGACAAAACACCTATGGGCAAGGAGGAGGCCTCTGTGATCAGCTGTCATGTCCCCTAAACAGCCTTGATGTGTTTTCTCTCTTCATTACCTGGGAGGTGTCAACCCTTCATCTATGGTGATCTATAGTCTGACACACCCATTTGCCTGTGGCTGGAAGGCTGTGATGTGTTGGGGTGGGGGTGAGGGAGAAGTAAGCCGGCATCCTCTCTAGAGATGGAAAAAGAAAAGGAGGAAATAGTTGCTGGAGAAAAGGCAGGAACTGCTTGTTGGTGCTGCCTGTCTTTATCCCATGTCTGATCATTGGAGCTGAAACCTGAGTTAAAGCCAGGTGTGAGGTTACACCAGGAATTATAATGTAAGCATCGCTTGACTTTTCTAGTGGGCAAGCTCTCACTCTCCTGCACCCTCTCTCTCTTACACACACACACACACACACACATACACACACGCACA